TGGCTTGCGAGGCCTGAGGCAAGTTGTCTCGCTGTAATTTACGTATTCTACATAAGTAGCAGTGGACAAAAAGCCTAAAATCGCTTGTAATGAGTAATTACGAGGCAGGCGGCGGCGCCGACGGAAGCAGATACGGATCTACATCGCACCGGACCCCCTCACTTGGCCATTGATTTACAGCTAAACACTCGTTAGCTTTCTGTCTTTTATACGTATTAGCACGACATTAGGTTTGTTTTCATATTTGGCAAATTGTACATACACAAAACGTAGCTAATTTGATGGTTGGGTTTCTTCAATGAGAGAGATATTTATATCTATTTATAGAACTAGAAACAACGGAAGGTGCTTTCTTGGAAAGGAAATTCATTCGTCCGTTCACTGTTCTTGAACTCGATTTTTGTAAAACTTCTGTAATACACTGTTGTAGTTGCATGTTTAATGGATGTTAAAAAATCTTTCTGATTAAAACAAGTCAATTTGAAAATTGGCTTTAATTTATCAATTTACTTAATTTTTATTGAGGAAGCGTCGTTTTCAGCGGATAAGTAATATTGTGTATTACCGTAGGACTTGCAACACTGTTTCAATTACTCGCAAGATCCGCACATAAGCGCGAGAATGGCAGCAAAAAGTGTTCGTGCATATTAAACGTATAGCAATCAGTGAATATAAATATTCATTCGGCTGCGTGTGGTTTAGCTTACCTTAATAAGACAAATGTGCTTCGTTTGCAAATAAGTGTTAATGTAATTGATACCTTTTGGAATGAAATTTTGAATCTCCTAACTTTACCCAAATATGAGCAAGGGTAATTAGAGGCACTTCTTGGAACTAATGGATGCACGATGTAATACATACAATGTAACAAATATAACTATAATATTTAAAAGCAGTAGAGTTTCTTGTGGAAGAGTTTATTCAGGGAAGTACTGCCACTTTACCTACTTTGCCGCCAATTAGTAATGTGAGCATTACTGATTACGATTTTGGAGGGTAAGGGTGCTGATGAAATTGCACGCACATGAGACTTGTCAACTTATGTCTCAAGGTGACGGGGCAATGGCAGTGCTCCTTAGATCTTTGTGATTTAAAGCACTGAGTGGCACTGCAACTGTTATGGAGAAGCGTGTCGCTTACCACCAAGCATGTTCGTCCCATCACTTGGTATTATAAAAAAAATCTGTAGCACTACACACACGCACTTTAGCAGATTAAACATGAAAATTAGTAGTGGCGCGGCTGCAGCGCCACAGACGCGTCACTGCAGCGCCACAAGCGTCTAATTTGAATTCGCCCTAATAGTAAAAACGATAGCTGCGATGTGCGCAAAGCAAATGAGCAAATAACGATCTTTACGAGTGGCAAAGCGCAGTCCGTGCTGTAGCACCGCGTAACCCCATACGGTAGAACACGCAATAGTTTGTATAGGCGATTCCAGAAAACGGTCGTTTTGCGATTAGATCAGCTCAGGGGTATGGAAGGCGCGCGGGGGCGGCAGCCGTTGTTAATTGCTCCGTTTTGTGAACACGGCCAGTGGCGTGCTCCGCGAGCAATCAGCGACCCCTGACTGATTGCTTTTTAAATAGGTTTTATGCCCACTAAAAATGTTCGAAGGAAATCAAAGAAAGCCCCGCGAAAGTTCGTAAGGAGCGATTGTGTAAACGCGAGGGAGGACAAGTTATTTTATAAAACGCGATTCTGACGACCGTGACTTTTCAACGTGAAATGTTGTAACGTGCCATCGATTACTCGACCGTTTGATATGGCCGGCACAATCATTCAAATTATTATTGTTGCTGTTTCATAATATTTCATAAGTTTTCGAAAGGACGCGGTAATGAGTTGCTCAAAGTAATAGTTGAACAATCATTTGATTATATTTCAGATATATAATCTGTGCAACATCGACGAATAAATGAAGCTCATAACGCCTTTTATTTAAAAGGATGACAGTTAGTTAATAATGTAAACGAACGCTTATGTGATAAGAGGTTAGTATTTACTTATATTGGTGTGTTCTGGTGACAGGATTTACTGTGCAAGTAGTGCGAACCAAAGTTTCACCTAATTGTCGCACATTTGTCGTTCTTATAATTGCGCTCAAGTACAGGCACCTAATACGAAGGCCTCATTATCTACTAAAGTTATTTTGACTAAGCGGCGTGGTAAAAAAAAACAAAATGCTGTTGGGTGATAACTAGTGGTCAAATATTCTGGTGCTTTTATACCTAAAGTACACTTTTTGTCGTGAATCGTTATCGAATATGGAAGCGGCTTCTTAAATCCCGAGTTGAAAGGTGCGACATTATGTTTTACGTATAATCCTAAAGGTCTGAAGATGACTAGAAATATGACAACTAGATCTCAGTACTGTGAACAGCTAAAAACGTCATTTTTAAACGTAAACAATGGTTTCGGTAAAAAAATATTAGGACTACAAAACTTTAAAAAAAATTAAAAAAAAATTAAAAAAAAAAAAATTATCTAGATGTCTGAAGTTTTTAAATTTTTCACTGTCTATGTGTAATAAAATAGATTTAATTTAAATGTTCTTAATTGTATACTTCATAATTTCGTAAATCCTGTTGTGGCGGGATTTACTCTATACAAAAGTGCATTAAATGTTAACGAACAACAGATTGTAGATAAATAAGCAACCGCTTATACCGCTATTGTTAACATACCTTTTGTCCCCATTTTCTTACTTTAATACTTCCGAAGTATAGCTAATGTTACAAACGACAGCAACCACTTCAGTCAGTTGTACAGTTTGACTTTAAGCCGTGTTGTATAACTTAAAAATACTTACAGTAACAAGAATCCTGAGCTAATCGCTCGAACATAATCGTCGTTGTTTTGTAGGAAAGGCGATATTTCGTAGATATTTCAAGGCAGCACGTTTTAAATCTTAGCAACTTTTTTAAAATATTTACGATCTGTTTTAAATTTAATTTTAAAACTTAAACTTATTAAATCCAAAATTGAATTTTAAAACAAGACGTAAATGTTTTAAAACAGACTATAGAAACATGATCCCTTGAAAAAACGACGAAATGTCGCTTACATCCTTTCCACAAAACATAGACGATACCGCCGCATAATAATCAGTATATTACCCACCTTCCGGCTATAGTGGTTGCTCGTTGCTCAAGAGTCGTAGGTGAAACAAAATGGCTAAATAGTAAAAATGCATTTAGCCCGTTCGTTTGAGCAGTTAAGTAGCTGTAACGAATACCCGAGCTGCGGCGGCTAACGCTCGCTTGTCACGCCAACGTTAATAGGACCGTGCTAAATTGTGTGTGCTATCTCCATTTGTGATGCCTACGTTAGGTAGCCGCATACACTGGTTTTTGCACGATATATGTTGTAATGTAAGCAGTTGTTGTAAGTGTAAGGTGGTATGTTCTGTTCATATTTTTATGTAAAAGTTTCTGCATATTCCACACCGACTCTCAGTATTTTAAATATATAAATGAAAATATAAAATTCTACTAAGGTATGTGATTAATAGAAAGGTTTCATTTACGATAATATAAAATTACAGAATAGAAGCGAAATGATAACCTGTAGATACTTAGGTCTACACGAAAAAAAAAAATTTAAGAAATAAGCAGAAACTTTTGTGTTTTCCTTTTGCTAAATGTCAATTGTATAATAAATGAGTGAAACAATAATAATTTAGTAGAAAACTTAACATTTGAGTGCAAACGTGCAAAAACGATTGTACAATACGAATACAAAAGTGTGACGTATCACTTTAAGTCTACTACTGGAATAACATTGTTACTTGTAATGTATATCATGCACTCACACTCGTAATTGTAAGATATTAGAACAGAAAAAGAGTTTTAATACTAGTACTTAGGTACATCCTAATACTTATATGTTTTCGTATCATCGTAGGCACATCCCTTCTGTGAGGACGAAATTAATGTCAATAAACCAACAACATTAACCCATTTACACGTTTCATGTCTGGAAAAGGGTCTCCTGTCAGGCTAGGGCTTAGGTCATAGTCCGCCACGTTGGCCCAATGCGGGTTGATGATTTCACACGTTTTCAGAGGGTTGTGAACCTACTTCGACTTCCTTCTTTGTTTTCTTTTATCGAAAAGGTTATGGTAAATATCAAATTAAATTGCGTACATGAATTCCGAAAAACTCAGAAGAGGTCTGAATTCGGGCCAACAGCCTCTGCTTGAGAGGTCAGACCATAAATAAGGCTGTCACGGCTTCATTTAATATAATTTTCATTATACTAATCACATCACATGTAAACGCGTACGATAGAAACTTGTTTATAGTTCTTTTCAACGTTTTCATAGTTGCCAAAGTTTCAAGTTACAAGTACTTTGGTATAAAGGAAACAAAATAAAAATTAATTGACAACATTTTAATTACAAAACACCACAAAATCTATCAGACATAAAATGTCACATTTCGGAATGCTTAAGTACGTTGCCATAGCTATAATAGCTTTAGGTACTTTATTACAGTATATTTAATACTTTATGTTGTGTATTATATACTAACAATACATACATATGAATAGTTATATATTTTGTCTAAATATACAGTTTGCACAATCAGTTTTTCATGAGATTTTGTTCGATTTTCTACTATTTCAAATGGCTTTTTAAAAGTGACCTCACCGAAATATTTGAGTGCCATAGACCTTTCTAAAAATAAGAACAATATATTTTTGCTGTTCTATACAATACAAGAATAAAATTAAATTCCAATGTTTATTTTTAATAACCAAAATATTCTCAAATAATTTCATTGTTCCAGAAGCTGAAATTAAGAAAAGTACCTATCACTGGGAATGTCTTTCAAGTTCCTGAAGTAAAACGTACTTAAAATATTTAAGTATTCATCTATGGAATGCATTTGTTTTTCTATGCAATTACGATTTACTTACAAAGCAAGTTAATTTCTATTTATTAGTACACGACATCGAATAATATTATACATACGTTCTTATAGTGAGAGCTTATAATATCACATTTGGACTACTGTCCACACTTCACGATCGACTTCTTAAAACTGTGGGTCAAAATAAGATGTACAACAAATTACAGTTAACTGAATGTAGTGCGAAAAGTTTTCTAGTGCAACATAAGAATATTGAAAGTTGATACTCATGGAAACCATACAAAAACAAAGAAGGTAATACAACTAAAGATTACCAAAATTTGATGGCTTCTTCACTTTTTGTTTGAACGTACTTCAAGCACTGTTTTTCCACGTTTACACCAATGTCCACTAATCTCCTTATTTGACTCACTCGCGGATATCACATTAAGTAGTCCTGCGTTCGTTTTGTACGGAGAAATTAATCAACGTCTGTAGTGTCCGCTTTAATGTCTTTTTGAATTTATGTTCACAAGTTTCACAAATTACTCTTTAGCTTTTATGGTTGTTCATAATGTCTTTTCAAGGCAATGTATTTAGTCATATGAATTAAACATGTATAGGTTCGTCGTCTTCCTCGTCGTCAGTGCGTCTTTCCATGGAGGGTTCTCGGGGGGAGCGGTGAGGGGGCGCGGGACTGCCAGGGTCTACGTCAGGAGATGGCGTACGCCGCGCCTGCGCATAGTACCCTAGCGCTCCCAGCGCTGGGGCTCCCAAAGAGCCAAGATGCGCCGATGGGCCTGGCAACCCTAACCCGAGAGGCGGTACTCCGGCCAAAGGTGCGCCGGGATATAACCTGTTGTCAAGTATTACATGTGAATAAACGTCCAGAACAAAGAGTCAAAAGTCTGAGCCACCCACACAACTATTGAAGATTTACGACATGTAAATAAGGCGTCACTACATAATATAAAAAAGATATTAGAATCGTGCTTAAACAGAAAACACGTTATTAAGCTACATACTACTACTACATAATCCAATTAGATATTGATTTACAATCATTACCGGTATGGCAGAGGTTTCTGTAGCGTATTAGCAGTGGCGGAGGCAGCAGCAGCCGCCGTGGCTGCGGCTTGGCGGTAATACAAGTCGGCAGCCGCAGGAGCGGGTTGCGCTGGGTACGCTGGCACGCCAGCCCAGTACCCGCCATACAGCCTCTGGAACGCCGCGTAGTTCCCGGCTTCTGCTAGGAGCTCTAGCCCTACCGCTGTTTGTCGCTTCCATTTCGTCCTAAAGACAAGAGAATGAGGTTATTATTACCGCTATTAACATTCTTACACTCACGTTACAATACGTTTATGAAAATGTGATTTATGTTAAGAAACATATTATTTTTTTATGAAAAATAGTGACATTTGTACAAGGAATAAAAATAAAGTAGCTATTCTTGACAGTCGTCTTCATACAGTATCAAATTCATTTAAGGTGCGATGTATACGTTTCTTGAATAAGATTCCGATTGATATTCAAAATTTGCCATTTACGAGGTTTAAAGTACCTATAGTGAAACAAAAACTTTTTAGTAAAGGTTATTATTGTATAGCTTCTACGTACTTGGATGACAAAAATTCATAGTGGTGATCCGTTTAGCTCTTGCAAGTAGTCTCGATCTAAGATGTTTAAATTAAAAATTGTAATGATAAATGTATTCAAATGTACATTTACAAAGAGCTTCTTGCTCATTCTTCTCATGGGATTCTGCCTTACGAATGAGCAGTAGAGTTCAATCAGTATGACAATTTCCAGTATAATTTGCTTACCTATGAAATAAAGATTATTTGACTTTGATTTTAACCGCGGAATATTACAGACATACCAACACTACAATAGACTAGTATCATTAGTATTTGTAAAAGGCAAGATAGAGAATCGCAATCTCGTTTAAACTTTTTCTTATGTAGAGATATACTTCATGCAATGAACTAGAACTCTACTCTGTTTGATATTTCAAACATATGATTTACTGCTAAAAAACTACAATCTTTGCAGTGAAATCTAACAAAGCATTCACGGTCCATTAACAATTCAAATAAATCGATAACCGTTGTTGAAATCCCACAAGGAATTACACAAAAACGATTTATGCCACATTACGAGCTTCAATCGAGTCTAAAATTCTCTAAACTATCGTTTACAAGTACCCTAAAGCAATAGATCTGTAACCCTTACATGACCCCAAATGTCCCGAATCGTCATCAAATTTGTCACAAAGCACTAGAGAGGACAATGAAGACGCAGCAATAGCAATGTGCGTGGAGTAATAAAAAATACAAATAAATAAAATAATAAATTTGACAAAACGTCTTGGGCACTCGTGTGCTCGACGAAGCGTAGTCGAGTGGCTTAATTTGATTTATTTTGCTTTGCTCGAAAAGGGTGAATTCATATAAATTAAGCAATATTGCTGTAGGGATGTTTCTACATTTAACCGCGTAGTGCTCTAAACAACTTAATTACAGCATGCGAACAAGGTCTATTTAATAGTTTGCAATTCATAATGTAATAAAACTAGTATTAGTAAAAACGAAATAACATTAAACTACAGTGTAAGCAACATGAAACTTCGATACACTATAATATAAAAATCCACGCTAGATGTACGTTAGTACATATTATATCCAATTGAAAAAGTACCATATATTTTACATTTGAATAATTAATCACAAAAGTTAATAAATTATGTAATAATCGAGAATTGTCTCATTAAATGAATTTAGAAAAAAACCATATCTGTATTATACCGACGCAATTATCAACAAACAATAAAAATACTCCCCCGAACTTGAAAAATTTAATTTGGCTGGAGTTGTCGATTAGTTCCGAAGTGGTGGGTTATTGTCGTCGAGTGAGTTTTTATTAATTCGAAGGGAATGTTATTGCGATGCGCATTATCATTGCTGTTATTGTAATCGGCCTTTGTGGGCGCCCTCGTTGTGTGGCCCCGAACCCCGCCAGCGCGGCCGCAAGCCGCGGTTGTTAGCAGACGCTTCACTGCCCAACTCATTAATTAATTTCTCTAAATGGATCATTTAATTTTATTAAATGTAAATTAGGGGGAGTTCAGATGTTTTGTTCGCCTTCTATCTGATGATTTATAACCTCTCATTTATTATTACCATCAAGTAAAAGTTTAACAAAATTAACCAACGAATTATAATAACTTGAAAGTGAATTCGGTTCTAAAGACGCGTTGATATCTATCTACCTATAAATTATATGCATGCACACATTGCAGACAAGGGTAATGGTATGATAATTTAAACGCCGATCTTAATTATCAGTAGCTGACAATTAATCGATAGAAAGCGTCTGTTCTGACTGGCATTAATCATTTTATTATGACGGGTGTTCATAAGGAACGTTATTCATGAGCACTTATTTAATTGTCAAGTGGCGAACGAGAGGCAATCTACCCGGTGCTCAGTGACACTATTCTTTTTATTGCCGCTGCCGTCGGTTACGAACAAAAAGCTCTCACAGCGCACTTAAATTTCGTCTGCCATCTCGAGACGTCTCACCAGACAATACTATTCTCTCTTTTTAACCCGAACACGGCACCTTAAAAGCGGGTTTTCTCCGTCTCTCTCCCGCAGTCCCCCGGCGGAGCCCGAGTACGCTCCGCCCAGTGGTTTAGTGATTTGATGCTGCGTGAACTGATTCAATTGTTGTTCGAGGATGTTCGTCCGAAAACGGGCCTTAACAATTCAAGTTAAAGACGAAAATGGTCCGGTAAAACGATCCCACTTACGACCTCTCCGAGGGGGAGGTTGTTTATCTCGATTTGGGTTTGGACGACGTGATGCGAATTCGGCTTGTGTATCCGGTAGACAAAGAGTGCTTTCATCGATCGAACTGTTTGCTCGGAGGCGCGCTTAAGTCATTTCGTCCCTCCGCCACAACCGCCGTGGTCCGCTCCAATTTGGTTCTGTTCGAACGTTATTTATACACTCCTTAGAAAGTTCATAAACATGTTTGCGTACGAGTGTTCTTGTGGGAATTGTTTGGAGTTGAATTTTTGTTTTTACGCGAGGATTTATGTCGCAGAAAAATATTTTTGAGTCGGTTTGCTTGGATAAAAATTAATCCAAGAAAATAATTTTTAATATTGCAAAATACCTTTAGTGCTAAAATCCCCCACTTAGGTTTCATGGAATACCTTTTTTTTTGCTATCAAAGCATTTAGGCATCAAAAACCGACCTAAACCAAATGTTGAATCACGACCTAAACTTAGTATACTAAATTACAAGTCCGAATTCTAATTGCTTTGGCAATCCTCATATTAAAATCCGGCCAAAGCTGAAATGGCATTTGCAATATAATTATTTGTGGTTAAATGATAAGCCAGGCGACCTGCGCGTCCTTGGTTCGATTCCAGTGTCTCTGGAGGTGTAATTTGGAGGGTTCGCCATAACCGATTAAGTCTGCTTCTTGGTAGCTACCCGCGGAACCTGCGTATTATGTCATTACAGATGTGTGTAGTGTACACACGAGTGGAATTTCAATTTCTAAGATTGAAAACCTTTGGAACTAAAAATATGCTATTTTTTTGTGATACTAAGTGACAAAACGAACAAGTCGTGCGCCTGGTGCCAAGCGACTCTCCTGTCCATAATGCTTGCAGCGTGACTCAGAACTTTATTTCACAAAGATCTGAAGGACACTGCCACTATGCCCGTCACCCTGAGACATAAGTTGACAAGTCACATGTGCGTGTAATTTCACATTACTGCTTGGCGACAATAATACTTAAAGTAACAACAGCACAGTCAAAAGCACGCCAAGCTTGACACTTTGTACTTTGGACCGTTCTTATGAGCGGCATAGAGTTGGATGTAAGTCTTAAGTGTCAAACTTGACGTGCTCTTGACTGTACTTCCTTCGATGAACTCGGTCATAAGGTCATGCTAATATGAAAATATGCAACAGACAGTATAGCAATCCTAAATCGAGATAAGAATAAAAACAAATTATCGATATTTCGCTGTTCTTTTTATTATATAAGTAAATAATTCCTATTTATATACATGACTAACTAGAAAATAACAATTTTGTGCACAAAATAGATGCTACGATGTCGCTCAAGCAATACATACTTATAAAAAGTGGGAGATGTAATATTTTACAGAGGACCCCATAAATAAACTAAAACCTTTTTGACAGCTGGTTTAACTGTCGACATTATTTATTATATGTTTTTTCTTTTATTGATAGGTGTCGCCAATCCTTTTCTTCTGTTGTTTCTTTTTTTAAATGGCTACGTTAAACGCTTAACGCATAACGCTTTCCCGCGAAAATTGTCAGAAAATTAATATACCTATTGAAAAAAATTATAATATAACGTCCGGATACTGCCAGCAGAATGGTTAATTAGACAACTTGTTTGAAAGTACGAAAAAATTTACTACTACCTTTTCTTCTTGGTTACATTAGATTTTCTTTTAATTAGTAGGTTAGATTTCTAATATTTAGGCTTATGTCATGGAATAATCTGGTCTGTTAGTTAATTTAACGTATCTTTTGTAAGACTTGTATAAGACTGTATGGTTTTTCCTTACCATACAAAAACAAGGAATTTTTAATTTGTTTGGCAGGGATCATTTTCTAAACCATGCTATAATTTAATAAATATACAGGTATATCTCTAAGGGACAGTCATGCTCGTCATGCATATGCATGACGATATGCATGGGTATATATATACCCAGTGATGCAATCTAGACCAAATTTCGTTTGGAGCATTTCAATACCTCACACGTAAGGTTGTAAGTCAAAATACCATATTTTGCTTTTTAACTCAAATATGTCACTTAGTGTAAATCACTTAGTGTTATGTTTACTTTTAAACATGGAACCTGTAATATACATAAAAAAGGATATATTTAAGTTAAAAAGCAAAATATGGTTGGTTGGAAGGTCGATTTTTATCACCGGTTTCGCATAGTGTGAACGGATTCACAGTCACACACCTAGGCAACCACAGCATCGAAACGAGCTTATACGCGTTTACGCAAATGATACGAATTTGCGCACCACTCCAACCCGACTGCTTACTCTCTAAGCATTTTTAGCACAAACGTTACGGTACAAGTTAGGGTTTTTAAGATTCTGTAATTTATTTAAGGGTTTTATTTAAGGATCGTTTTAAATATTGCGATTCAAACACTGAGTAATCAATGAGAAGAAAAATTAGACAATAAATTTGCTTAAAAATATATACTGTAAGAAAAAT